TCAGATTTGTACTGGGTATTTGTTCTTTTGTTTCGCTTGTCCACGTATCTGGTTTCAAAAACTAAGTTAGTGGATTGACCTATCCTTAAGAATGCCTGTGTTGATATTAATGTGGTGTTAAGATGATAAATTGGTTATACTTTTCAAATTTATCAAACCTACTATTTAAATTTATATCAAACACCTCATTCAGTAATCGACTACCTCGAGTGGTACTCAAACCTTGTATTGGGGGGAAATAAAAATAAAAAAGTATATTATAGTGCTTGCTACTAGGAAATATGCTTGACACAACAAGGCAAGTACACCCTTGTGCAAATTAATTGAAACTTCTGTTTTAGTTTCCTTTCTTTCACCATTCGGTCAGTTTCAGATTCACTGGATTAATAGGGTGTAATCGATTTCGATTGCAGTGGTGTGCAGCAATATAAATCTATTTTCGGAGTATATGATGAAATTTGTCTGTCCTTGAAAAATATTGCATCATCCGTGATTGCATCAGATTTTTATCACGCCCAGACTCTATTGTCTCAACTGTCGATTAGTTGTCCTACAGCAATTGTCTGTGATGAACGTTACTCCAAGAAAGCATACAAAAAATGTAACGCTGCACGAACACACTGGCAAGCCCTACCAGAGACCAAATCAAAGTACCATAGAGTGGCCCGAAAACTGAATTTAAATCCAATCGAGAATCTGTAGTCAATCTGCAAGACTTCGTGGAATGGACTTACGATGCACTAACATATACATTGGGTCATGTCTCATGGGAAAAAAGCAAATAATAACGGTGTTATTTGTTTTATTTCGATTAATTTGCACAAGGATATATCTCACATTGCCTTGAAAACCATTATGACGGACCCAGCATGGTAGAGTTATGGCTCTCTAGATTTTGTGAGAATTCTATTTTTCTGTGCTCCATTTGATATCCTAGCCACCCAATCGTTAAATAAGCTGTGGTGGTAATTCATTCTTACATGCCATCATGCCTCACTGGGGATAATTGTTCGCGTGGAAAATATGACTCTGAAATGAAAGTTGCCTAGTTTTCACACCGACATTGGAATAGCTCATACATAATAATAACAAGACGTTGTTAATGCTCACTGACTCGTTCAGCGGCTTAGACAATGCTCTTTGACAATGGTCATGTCTAAACTGTAGAGCGAATGGCAACACATCGTCACGTCAACGAAATAGGACGTGTCGGCGTAACTCATTTTGGCCTGGCTGATTCGGCGGCCTGACAGATACAGCGGTCTAGCCGATTTGGCGGCGCGGCCGATACGGCGGCCTGGCCGATACGGCGGCCTAGCCGATACGGCTAGGAAATTTTCGACAGAGGGACGATTAGGTGTCAGATTACTATTTCATTGTTATAGTCAAATTTGTTCTCTCTCTCTCTCTCTTTCTCGTTTAGTAATCAAATTAGTACTTCACCGTTATATGCTCGAATAGCCCAATTTCGAATAGACCAATTTAAGAAAACGATCACTTGGATTTATTTTTATATTTAAGAAAAGGTAGTTGGAGACATTTTTAAATTTAAGGAAAAGGGTAGTTAGAGGTCAATTTTATTATATTTCCTTTAGTACAGGTTCGTATTTTTCAGTCGTCAAAGCCATTTTATTCCAAATGGAAGCAAATATTTTATCAAACCGTGGAAGAAATAAAGTGATACACGACGGATAAATAGCTTAGTTTTTTTTTTCTTTTTTGAAAAACAATATTTTTGCGACCTGGGTATGAAGATAAACTACATCCACGTCCTGGGTAAAACGATAAACTACATCCGTGTCCTGGGTAAGATGATTAAACTACATCCGCGTCCTGGGTATGACGATAAACTACATCCGCGTCCTGGGTAAGGCGATAAACTACATCCACATTCTGGGTATGATGATAAACTACATCTGCGTCCTGGGTAAGGCGATAAACTACGTCCAACAGCAAGGCTTTTTATAATACTTTTTTGAAAAAAAAATAATGTTTCTAGCTGTATGTTTTTCAAAGAAAAAATAATAATATTATCAGCTATACGTTTTTGAAAAAAAAATATTAACAGAAATGGATTTTTGACAAAACAAAAATATTACCAGGAAAAAAAAGTTGTCATTAAATGACCCATTGAGGTTGATATGCCGTAAAACAAAACAAACAAACAATATTTTTAATTTATTTTTTTTAATTTACATTATTCCATTAGTGTTTTAATGGAATCCTTAAATCCCTAAATGAATCAAAAGTCATATTGAAAGTTGTGTGTTTTCAATACTTTTATCCTTTGCCTCCGATCAAAGACGATGACGTCGAAACAATTTGATGCTTAAACGGCTGTACCGAATAGTCCAATTATTTTTCTGACGCCGAATCAGCTACGCGAAATGGGCTACGCCGAAACGTACCATACCCCACATCACCGCTCAAATTGCCCGGCCTCAAGGCTAGTCTATTGTTATAGATCTTTGTTCCGTTCCACGAGACGAACAAATGGAATTAATTGCAGGATGCAACCAAAGCAGCCACACAAAAAATTGCTATTTCAAAACCTGACAAATCAACGAAACCGAACCTGAATCGACTAACGTCTCATCAATTGGGTTCGTGTTTACAGTGGACAGAGAAATAATGTTTAATATGAACCTTTTTACACTGAAGTCTAACCTTATGCTATTTAGAAACTGCTATTTAAATATTTGTTTTATTCGGAGAAAAGAGTGGGAAGCTTGTGCGAAGGGATGGTAGTACGGGACCTTTAGCAAAGGGAGAAAAACAGGCTAAGAGAGACACAAGATTGAAAACTGGGGAGAGTCGTGATCGCCTATGTCCTGAAGAGACGTGGCACCACAAGAAAAAAGAAAGAATTTATAAAGCTCTAAAGAATTAAGTTAATTTGCATTCCAACAAATGGCTATTTCTTTCATTCTACTATGTGATGCATATGTGTATCAAGTTCTTCAACGTAACAGAAGGCCATTATCCAACAGGAGAGCGTAAGAGGCAAGCTATAAATTGGCGACGTCAAAAACAATGCAAATACAGAAAATGAATTCCTTTTCTTTTTAATCATTTCTCTCCAAGAAAGGCAATAAAGCCACTACGACGCAAGAGATTACTGACTGTTAGAGAGCATGAAAAAAACTACTAAGAGAAGACAATAAAAGTATAAGAATTAAGAAGGTAGAAAGCAATGATTGATATTGCATTTAAATATTTGGAGATTGAGTTTGACCGGAAAGCAAGACTCTGCAAGAGAAGCGAGGAGTGCAATAGAAGAAACTGCTACCATAGAACTTACGGTTGCATCTAGCCATTGCAACTGTAAAATATTGAGATTTTGCTGCCAATCTAGTTTAGTTTAGTTTTTCCCTCCGCTTGTGCTGTTAGCCGTCGCGGGGAGACACGGTCGTCTGTCAGCGGCAAGGCGAGTGGCCTAGAGGAGAGATATCTCGTGGGCTCTGAGAGGCCAATCTAGTAATGTGCTTAAATTCATAAAGTCTTCGTACCAAGGTGAAAAGTTCATCAGAACAATTACCATGGAAATGTTTATAGAAAAGGCACAGGAAAGCTACGTTGAATAAGTCAATGAAGCCGAGATGCCAGGTCAGGATCAATAACATTGTAGAATCTTGTTTGGTTTTAACATACTACAGATTTAGTAAAATAGCTCGGCTTATACACCATTTTATAAGATAATACAGTAATATAGCTAAACTTGAAAAAATGAATAGATGAATGAACATATAATGATTTACTAAGCGGGACATAGATGTGGCACAAGGCCGAAAGTATGGAGCACGGAGTTAGGATTGAATTAAATAGTCACTCGTAATTGTTCAAGGGATACAAGATTGCTAATCATTAAACTATTGGGCTCGTCCATTAGCCCAATCTTACCTTCTTCGAGTAATGCACTATTCCAACTTTCATTCGTAAATCTAGCCCTCTGATTGGTTCATTTCTACAAATCAGGTCGCCCGCACATGCACTTCGAAGTTTTGGCGCAATATCGCTCTGGAGCCACCCCACGTGATCATGACCTCTTAAAAGGAACCAAAAAGCACATGTGACCAGAGAGACGCAGAGACAGGCGGAGACGCAGACCTGGGCAGATCAGCAACAGACCATTTTTCGACCGCTTACTCAAGCTTAAAAATGTGACGACTACTAATTACCGTCTCGCTAATCGAGACGACAAATCATTCCCGTTCAATATCTTCTACGAATTTCTTCGTCATTCAAGAATCTCCAACTATACATTCTCTTTTTCCTCAGGCCTTCAGCCTTACCACCTCGCAGATGTGAACGCTCACAGATACAGCGTTTCCCAAATGCTGGGAACACGGTAAGCACAATACACGTACGTACGCACACTAACCACAACACACACATACACACGCATAATATTCACCACACACTCTGCCCAAGTAACTGCCCATGTAACTTGTAACCTTTCTTGTTATTAATACATATATTTGTTTGCATATATTTATCGGTCTTGTGTTTTTCTTTGCCTTCTTTGGACTTAATTAAAGTCCAACTTTCTCATATAGTCGGACCGGCTAGCAGGAAAATCTTAACCCTACATGTGTTCTTCTATTTCTACTCAACATCGCCGACAGTCCTCTGCAAAACCAAATCAAATTCCCTAATAAATGAATATAGATAAAACAGACGAAAACCTTAAGCCAAATATCGAAGCATAATAAAAAAATATCTTAGTATTTGCATTTGAGGCAAGTTTTTTTTTTCTTTATTTTTTTTACCTAAATTCGTTCATTAGGTAATGCCATTAATAACTTCAAAAGGGTAACTTCACGTATTTTTCCGCTGTTCGTAGCAACACACAAGAACGCGATCTAGTCATGCGCGTGCTCTCTCAGCGCATGCGCAGAAAGTCTAGAAGCGGCCGCGTTCGGCCAAGTATTTTCCAATATGTCCTGTCCTGAATTGTTGGCCAAGCGGTGATAGTTGCGATGGGATTAACCTTTTCAGATATGTCTCCAGGGAAGCGACCATTGATAATGCAGTTGCTAGGATACGTCTGCACCTTTTCTCGTTATTTTCCGTTCTTGCTCACTAAGTCCCTGGTCGTTCTTTATCAAATCACACTCTTGCGTTTCCTCTTGATTTTTGAGGAGTTTTCTCTCGTCAAAACGTTCTTCATTGTTCGGTGTGGCCATACAGTTGACATGTCACTTCCTTTTCTCAATTCTGTTGGATTCTCTTTTTTTACGCTTTCTTTTTCTCTCCGTTAAATCGACATTTTCCTTGCGCAATCTAACGGCTTGGCATTATTCTTTTTTGAAATCTTTATTTTTCCCGCTTTCTTTTTTCCACTCCTCTCGATGTTATCTATCTATCTATCTATCTATGTATCCGTTCATATCTCATTTTATTCTTATCTATCTATCTATCTATCTCAGTGAATCATCTATCTATCTATCTATCCGTTCATATCTCATTTTATTCTTATCTATCTATCTATCTATCTATCTCAGTGAATCATCTAGCTATCCGTTCATATATTTTATTCTTATCTATCTATCTATCTCAGTCTATCTATCTATCTATCCGTTAATATTTTATTCTTATCTATCTATCTCTCTATCTCAGTCTATTCATTATCTATCTATCTATATATCCATCTATCCGTTCATATCTCATTTTATTCTTATCTATCTATCTATCCGTTAATATTTTATTCTTATCTATCTATCTATCTCAGTCTATTCATTATCTATCTATCTATCCGTTCATATCTCATTCTATTCATATCTATCTATCTATCCGTTCATATCTCATTCTATTCATATCTATCTATCTATCTATCCGTTCATATCTCATTCTATTCACATCTATCTATCTATCTATCTATCTATTTTTCCCTGTCTGTCTGTTCGTGTCTGTTCTGTTTGTCCTTTCTTCTTTATAATCATTCTTTCTTTTATTTCTCTTTGTTTGCTTGTTTCTTTCTTTCATTTTTTCTTTTTTTTCTTTCTTTCTTTGAATCCTCTCTGCTTTACATTATTTTTCTACATCCGTCTTATATATATATATATATATATATATATATATATATATTCAACTGTGCCTTATCTATCTATCTATCTATCTATCTCAGTCTGTTCATATCTATCTATCTATCTATCTCAGTCTGTTCATATCTATCTATCTATCTATCTCAGTCTGTTCATATCTATCTATCTATCTATCTATCTATCTATCTATCTACCATAACCAAGTAACACGTAACGTAATGGTTTAAACCACTGGTTAAAATACATGTGGTTATCAAACATTTGTGATTTCAACCCCCTGGTCTGGTTGTGTCGATAAATCCTGGACCCTGCTTCAGTGGATTGATTGATTCGTTTTCTACGGCTTACCAACCCTTTTGGGGTTATTTAAAGCCAGAAAATAGTTTTAGTTTGTAAGAATTATAGGGAGAGATAATGGTTTAGTGATACAAGTCTTGCTAATTAACCCATAACTGGGGGATAATAAGTGGATCCATACATATCCCAAAGGGGATTTGCACGTAAGTGAATATAACGAACCCAACTGGAATTGGAACTTGGTTCTCCGATTAACAATTTACGAGCCATTATCCATTATACCAACCGTTCATCCAATTTTACAGCGCCTGGGTTTCACAAAGTTCGACTTTGCTTAACTTCGGTTTTAACGTGATATGGCCGTTGCTTCATTGAAAAAAAAAATTACAAGCGACGCAAAGTTAAATAATTTATAATATCCTCTAATCATGAAAAACAGAATTATAACAATCTAGCTACGCGGATTGAATACAGAGTTAGGTTCAAAATTCTCAGAAGGTTACTGTAGGCCCATGAAGAAAATTAGATATTGTAACGTTTTTTCTCTGTGCCTTTTCTATAAATATTTTCATGGTAAACTTTATGGTGAGCTTTTTCTCTTTGATACCTCGACTTCACGAACTGGAAGTTAGGTCTCATCGCGTCACTGTTAAAATTCCTAAATTCTATACTAGTAGTTTCTTCGCTCCAACTCTCTAGTGGCTCTTCTCATTTTATTCTTATCTATCTATCTATCTATCTATCTATCTCAGTGAATCATCTATCTATCTATCTATCTATCCGTTCATATCTCATTTTATTCTTATCTATCTATCTCAGTGAATCTATCTATCTATCTATCTGTTGAAACTTGGATAAGCATGGAATAATAATAATACAACACAAAATGTACGTAAACAAAATGTATTGAAACAAGGAAAACGTACACAATATTTACAGTTAGTTTTGGTATATTCTTGGGAAGACTGTTCCTGCATAATGGGTTGACTAAATCGCAGTCGGGCAGAGTCTCTCGATTCGATCTCTTCTTACTAACTACTATTTCCCGCGTCTTCCGGTACCAACCCATATTTATATGGTCGGTACTCCACTTATGTAAATTAGGTGTATCGTACCACAACACCCTCCTCCCAAGCCTTGGAATCCCTTTTGGATTTCAAATTGGCTTCCTATATGGGTTGATGATTATGGCTATTTCTTTGTAGATCCATTTGCCTAATTTTAATATTTTTCCCGTTTTGGATTCACGTTCAATGGGTCCGTCAACTTCCGTTTCCTACCGGATCTTCTTGGTTCAGGTGTATTCTGTGGAGGTTCTACCTGAAACATATCATACATTATATCAATGGGATCTTCGTCCTCATCCGGTATACACTCTTCTTGCTCTATACCGTAATCTTTTTTAAGTTGGTTTTGGTGCCTTTTTATGAGTATTCTTCGGCCCTTTAATTATGTAAATCAGGTCACCGATTCTCTTGTCCACTATGCCTCGTTCCCAGAACTCAACGTTGTTTTTATAGCACTTGAAAAACACCTTCTCTCCGGGGTGTATATTTTTTCTCGCTGTATACATGGTATTTTTTACTCTATTTTTTCCTGGCAAAAAGCTTGTCAAACACTGACTTAACTTTCCTAGCGAACATTAGTTCAGCTGGTGTCATGTTTGAGTGTGTTCTCTGGTTTGGCGTGATTCTGTATACTTGTAAGAATTGCTGAAGCGCCTTTTCCGTTGGAACTCCTGAGGCTTTCTTCAGAGCTCGCTTTAAAGTATCGACAAATCTTTCTGCGAGTCCATTAGACCTCGGATGATACGGAGGCGTCGTTATGTGGTTAATTTGATATAACTCACAAAATTCCTTAAATTCTTAAGAAGTGAATTGTGTACCATTGTCACTCACAATACACTCTGGCACACCGAACCGTGCAAATAGTTCATGCAAAAAGTTGTTGTGGTATTGGACGTAGGCTTTTTTACAGCGTAGTACTTCCGGCCATTTTGTAAAACTATCTACCACTATTAAGTAGTAAAAATCTTCTACTGGAACAGCGAAATCAATGTGTAATCTTGTCCACGGATGATCCGTCTTGGGCCATGGTTTGTGTACTATAGGTGGTGCCTTAGCTGCTAACGCACACCCCTTTACATCGATGAACCATGTTTTCGATATCCACATCCATTCCTTTCCAATACACAAAGCTTCGCATTAAGCTTTTTGTTCTATTAATACCCAGGTGACCCATATGAAAGTCCCGAAGTATTTTTTTCTGCAACTTCTTTGGTATTACTACTCTCTCACCATATAATAAAACTCCATCACCTATTGAAAAAATCTCCTGCACTTTTTGGTCATTTGCTACCATTTTGCTTTTAATTTCTAAAATGAAATCATCGCTTTCTTCTTTTTTTAATTTAATTTAGCGTAACCGGTAGCTCTCTTACAATGTTGTTTACCATGCTTTTCACCTCATAATCTGCTCTGATATTTGCAATAATTGATTCTTCGAATCTTTCTTCTTGACTCGGTACTAGTCTTGATAGACTATCCGCATAAATTATCTTTTTTGGATGATAGGTGCTTTATGTGAAAATCATAATTGAGAAGAATGGTTCCCCCATCTTAACAGACGATTTGCTGTATAAACGGGTAACCCTTTCTTTGAACCAAAATAGTGATCAGTGGTTTATGATCCGTTTCAAGGATAAAATGTCTGCCGTGGATGTACCTGTGAAATTTTTTGTATGGCAAAAATGATACTCAGTGCCTCTTTTTCTATCTGAGAGTAACTTCTTTCTCCTGGGAGCAAAGTTCTCGAAGCGTGTGCAATTGGTTTTCTAGAACCATCTGGCATTATGTGTTGAATACACGCTCCTATCCCGTATGAACTAGCGTCACTTGCCACTACAATATCCAGTTTTGGATTGTAATGGGTTAAAAAGAGGTCGGACGTAAGCATTTTCTTTATTTCATCAAAAGTTTTCTGACATTCTACCGTCCATTCCCATGCCTTATCTTTTTTTAGCAGTTCATTCAACGGAGCTCTTAAATTGTACATTCCTTTAATGGACGCTTGATAATAATTTGCAAGCCCTAGAAAACTTTGTAGCATCGCCACATTAGTGGGCGTCGGCATGTCTCTAATCGCAATGGACCTTTCCGGATCCGGACATCTGCCATTTTTGTTGATTATGTGCCCTAAATACTTAATTTCCTCCAAACCAAATTCGCACTTTGATTCTTTGACTTTAAATCCAAAGTCCTGAATCTTTTTAAATACTTGATTGAGATGCTCTCGATGTTCGTCGACCGATTCGCTCCTTACTATGATGTCGTCTAAGTAAGCGCACGCAAAGTCCAAATCATTCAGCATGACGTCCATAGCTTGTTGAAAAATGGCAGGTGCCACTTTAATACCAAAAGGAAGCCTGTTGTACTTGAATAACCCTCTATGCGTGTTTATCCCTAGTAACTTCGAACATTCCTCTTCGACGGGAATTTGGAGATAGGCATCTGATAAGTCAATTTTTGAAAATATAACTCCACCATTTAGCTTGTTAAAAATCTCCTCCGGACTCGGTAACGGTAGTCCTTAATTACCGAGTTCAACCCTGTCGAAAAATCAACGCAGACTGACTTGGTTTGATTTCTTTTTTATGCACACAATCGGCGCAGCCCATGAATTAGATTCTACTTTCGAAATAATTCCCATTTTTTCCAACCTATCAAGTTCTTCGTTAATTTTCTCTACACTTGCGAAAGGCACATTACGTTTCTTTTTAAAAATTGGCATAGTATTTTCCTTTAATTCGAATTTGGCTTCAAACTTGTTACATCTTCCAAGACCAGGTGTGAAAGTTTCCGGAAACTTTTTCTTTAATTCCTCATTAATATCCTGTCTTGTTTGCGTATTACTTTCTACTTTTCTGCAGAAAGAGTTTAACGGTTTATCCCACAATTCGAATGTTTCAATAAAATCTGTACCCATCAAGTTTTCTCCATTTTTCAGAATGAAAACTTATTTTTTTAACTATCCCGTTCAATTTCATGGGAAGTACAACCTCGCCTTCGAATTTAATTTCCTTTCCAGTCACTGTTCGAGCGCGTTTCGTTGACTTCATTATTGTAGGCCTTTTAAAATTTTCCATGTTTTATAGTTCATTATTGTTAAATCTGAACCCGAATCGAGTTGAAATTTGATATTCTTTTAAATATTTCAGTCGTCACATACTTCCTCAAATCTCTATCTGATTTGATATTTGAATTTGTTTGTCTAATTCGGCTATTGACTTTCTTCGTTTTACGACACGACCCTTTGTGACCATTCTTGTGGCACACGAAACATTTTTTTATTTCTATATGGGCAATTTACCTCCCAGTGTCTTTCGTTGCATCGTCTACAATTAAATGGCGGAACCATTTTTTTTTCCTCCTCATTCTTTTCATTTAATTTTTCTTGTCTATTTTTAAAATACGCCGAATTTTTAATCCAATTTTTTCTGATGGGTAATTTGACTGTTTCTTCAGTTTTTTTTAATATAAGCAATACCAGCTTCTTCAATTTTTGAGACTCTTTCTTTAAACTTACGGCCCGCTGACACTCCTCTGCTAACTTTTGCAGGGTAAGGTTTTGTTCAGATTCGAGTTTAGACAAAACTCTACGTCTTATTTCGGCACTCTTACTGGATACCAGTCCTTGAGCAAAAAATTAAACACTTGAATTCTTCAACCGTAATCTCTGCCAATCTGAAATTGTCACAATGTCTATTCACTATCGCTGCATAAGTTAAGTAATCCTGATCGTCGGATTTAGCGACATTCATGCATAACCATCGCTTATGCCAAAGCGACATATTTGCTCCAAACAACGCCTTTAGCAATTTCACTGTTTCCGAGAATTCCAATTCATTTGTTCTTCTCGGTAGAATAAAATCTACAAATTTGCTATGTTCCGCTGTACCTAGCTTTCTTAGTAATAGACTGACTTTTCTTGAATTCGACCAGTTTTCACAGTCTGTGTGGAAAATATCTTCATATCGTTTAAAGTACGCTTCAAACGTTTTTCCTTCGTCTGGCACATAGTTGAAAGTTTCCAACGAATTAAATATGATGTTATTAGAATATGAAGAGTTACTTTCATTTGCCTGAATGTTGTTTAATTTCTCCAATGTTAACTTTTGAATTTCCAAAACCTTGACATACATTTCTTCCTGTTCCCTTTGGCGTTGCTGACTCAACTCCTCTTGCCTTTCTTTATCTATCTCAGTGAATCTATCTATCTATCTATCTATCTATCTGTTGAAACTTGGATAAGCATGGAATAATAATAATACAACACAAAATGTACGTAAACAAAATGTATTGAAACAAGGAAAAGGTACACAATATTTACAGTTAGTTTTGGTATATTCTTGGGAAGACTGTTCCTGCATAATGGGTTGACTAAATCGCAGTCGGGCAGAGTCTCTCGATTCGATCTCTTCTTACTAACTACTATTTCCCGCGTCTTCCGGTACCAACCCATATTTATATGGTCGGTACTCCACTTATGTAAATTAGGTGTATCGTACCACAACACTATCTATCTATATCTCTTCTGGCTTCTCCTGTCAACTACGATCTTCCAAAATTTAAAAGCAATGATAATCGTCGTCTCCTGTCTATTTGAATTCTGTTCTTTTTATTGTCCTCCTGGTTAAGGTCTTCTTTGTTTCTTTGGCTCTCAGTAACCCATTGTTTCTTAGTGGCTTTATCGCCTTCTTTTTCAAAAGATTAAAATGAAATAACACCTAAAATGAGCAGACAGGTTTAAATAGGCAGCTATATAATAAAAAGGGTATTTTGAATTATT